CTGATAGTAATCCCAACACTGAGGTCAGTTGTAATAGAACTGCTTGCTTAATTGCTGGGCAATCCCTGGTAGTAAGATGCACAGGGAATCCAATGCAGTTCTCCTCTCTGGGTTCTCTACTATTTGGGGGAGTTTGGGCCAAGACGCTGAGAATCTGGATTTCTTGCTTCTCAGATCTCCCCTATGCATTCTTTGTTCTAGCTGGACTTGGCTATCTCTCTCGGGAATTATCATCCCTGACTTTGACAACATCGCTTCTGACATTTAGCCAACCTGAGATTTGTTTCTCTTCCCCATGTATCCAATTATACTCATTCTACAAGGCCCAGTTCCATTCTCACTTCATTCATGAGATCCAGCTAAGCCCTCCCATATAACTCCCTCATTTCCCGCCCACACCACCACCATTTGCAGGTCACTACCTCATATTGTTTGCTAATGTCAAGCTTCATGATGGCAAGGATCCTGGATTCTTTTTCTTTGTAATCTTAAAGACATGTGGATAGATATATTTCATAACAGAACATATTCTCTGAGGCCCATAGAACTCCAGGTTGGTTTAAAATGGAAGAAAAAATTAAAGATGGAAAGTGAGCTATCAGAGAATCCATTCCTGGAACTTAGAAACTTTTCATTTGCCAGGACTGATTCCAACCTCCAAATTCTACCCTGACCCTCCTTCAAATCCCTATCCCCACCAAACTTCCCAGCCCCCACTATGAACTACAGATACTACTGTCAGTAGAAACAGCCCCATTTTCTCCTTGCTTGAGAGGGTACTGACTTGCATACCAAATGTTGGGGATAGAATAAAATAATAAGGTTAAAACATATTTAATCTTACTCTTCAAGATGGACCTGTTTTAAGCATTTTACACATATTAACTCAGTTAACCTTACAGCAATCCCATGATGTAAGCAGCACCCTAGTGGTACCCTTCCCTCCAATTTTACAAAGTGGTAGATTTAGGTTAGTTATAAATTCTTGCTATCCTCCCATCGTGAAGTGAGGTTTATGCTTCCTTTCCCTGAAACTTCAAAACCTGGAAAAACTTTCACTAGGAGCCCTGAACCTCCATGAACTAGAAACGACATTGAGAGGGACATGGACCCAGCTGAGTCCAGTGTTTCTAGTTAACCCACCAAGACACAAGGTGTGTGAGTGAAGCCAGACTCTCCAGACCAGAGGAGCCACTGAGGGATCTCAGTCAACACCCTGTGGGGCAGAAGAATTAATTGCCTTGTTGAGCCCTGCCCAAATCTCTGAGCCACAAAATTGTGAGATCCAATGACACAGTTATTCGAAGCCACTAAGTTATGGGAAAATTTGTTTCATAACAATAGTTAACTAGAACATATGTGACTTGCTCACAGTCACTTAGCTAATGTGAAGAAGATCTAGGTTTTAAACCCAGGCAGCCCGACTCCAAGCACATGCATTTAATCACTGCTCTAGCAGTGATTGTCACCGAGGAAAAATTAAAATTGTCCAAAGCACACTGATCATTCTGGAGGGAAAACTATCTGTAAGCCATGCCACTTCTGGTTGTTAAATGATGATAAGGTATGTTATAAAGCCTATTTTGTTTTCCAATTTATTCAATAAATATTCATTGAGCACCTATCTTTACTTGAATACTATCACTCACCCACCTGCTTTCTCAATGTACTCACCTGTCTTCTCAATGCACCCACCTGCTTTCTCAATCTTAACTTTCGTGTCTTTTTTTTTTTTTTAATATTCAGGGGAGGACCTAGACACACTTTTTTTTTTTTTTTTAAGATTTATTTATTTTAGAGAGAGAGTGTGCACAAGTGGGGGGAGGGGCAGAGGGAGAGGAAAGAGGGGAAGCAGACTCCCCGCTAAGAGGGGAGCCCGATGCGGGGCTCAATCTCAGGATTCTGAGGTCATGACATGAGCTGAAACCAAGAGTCGGATGCTTAAATGACTGAGCCACCCAGGTGCCCTTAGGCACACTCTTCTTAATATAGGATAAAGACCTGATGCTTGGGCACCCTAGCTGTGAGTGATTTAACACAGTCCATGTGATCCACAAGCAAAATGTAACAAACTGGAGTATCAGAAAGATCAAAGTAGTGATTACTTCTGGGAGGCTAGAGCACTGAAAGGCCATGTCAACTCAAAAACTATTAGTTTATGTTCATACGCAGGTAAGCGCAGCACTGAAAGCACTTTCCAGTTTTACTCTGATCTGAAATCAACGCAAACCAAAGTCAATCAGAAACGAACTACTCAAATGTTTCTTTAGCTTATGCTTCAAGAAGGAACCAGTAGATTATCGTATAATCAGATGGCTTTAGATCAGGTTTTTATGCTTATTTTATTTCTCCTGGAAGAGTCTAATTTTAGGACAACCCTGGTCTATCAAGGTTATCAAAGCAAAGGAAGACAGAACAGAGTATCATCTGGAAAAGGTTGTAAGATTTCACGCATGACTGGCCTGGTAAACATGAAATCCAGACTTCCTCAGTTCTTTTTTCTCCCACAGATCAAATTTTTATCAGTCCACTTCACCCTAGAAAATTAGCTGGATCACACAGGACATATGAGAACTTCTGAGACTGACCTTCCTCACCCTAAGTCCTCAGAGCCTGGGAATTGTCCTAAATCTTGGGTCCCCAGTCCTAGCAGAGGCTTGATGTAATCTGTGCTTGAGATCAGAAAAGGGTTGGAGACAAGGTAGGCTACTGAATTTTTATGGAGCCGAGGGCAAAGTTCTTTTTTTTTAATTTTTAATTTTTGTAGTTTCAAGTTTTTATTTAGGTTCCAGTTAGTTAACATACAGTGTAATACTCGGTTCAGGAGTAGAATTTAGTGATTCATCACTTACATAGAACACCCAGTGCGCATCACAATACGTGTCAGGCAAAGTTCTTATGGCTAGTTGGCAAGAACAAAAAAGTCCAAAATCCTTGGCATCAAATTATTTCCTCTAGCTAATCTTTACAAAGAATATGGACCTTTTTGATCCCTCATCCCAGTCCAATCTAATTCTGCTAGTCTGCTGTCTTTTCTCTAAGAGTTTGCATTTACATACCCTTAAGAACAAAAAGGTCATCAGATTTATAACTCCCCTTTATAGTCATGGTAGAAGCAAAAGGAAAGATACGTAGATCAAATCCCATTATCACTGGACTCAGGAAAAGAAACCCTCACGGGAGGCTGTTAGGGCATGCTCCAGCTGTCCACATCTTTCCATAATGAGAACAGATTCTAGGGTGTTCAGAGTCATAATCACTTGCAAGACTTTTGTGCCTTGTACCCTACTCTTCTTTGGAAGTTCTGGCTTTCTCCATTTTTGGAAAGATTCACCCAGTGTCCTCCTATCTGTGTGTTTGCTGCAGGAGGAAAAGCCAAAAACCCAGTAATTACCATGGCTTAGTCCCTGAATCCCTATGTAACATTAAGTCCTCCCGAGGTCAGTAAAAATTTGGCCTTGAGAAAGATTACAGGACAGCCACTCGTATGAAGAAAAAGCCATTTGCTCCTCTGTTTCCCTCAGCGTTAACGGAATGTATTACGACAGAAACAGAACAAGTCTGCCAGGACCTGGGCAGACAGAACTACCCTTTCACCAACCATAAACAGATCTGCTCTTGAGCTAGAGAGAGTCATAATAGAAATATATATTGCCTTTTATCTTCTTTTCAGTGAGTAGAGTGAAGTGTCAGGAGTTATTGGTTTAATATCAGTAGAGAAGAAGCTATTTCTTTTTTGAGCGTGTACATAGGTGTACATGCAACAGCACACACGACTATACGAGTGTGATGCTAACCCGGTTCTTAGTAGCACTTCTAAAACACATAAAATTGGCCTGATAACATCATCAGTGTATACAGCCTCAAATTGTTCCTGTGGAATCTTGTAAGGAGCTGTCTGGGTATTTCTGCTCAAAGAAAAGGGAAAAGGAAGACAACGCTTTTATCTCTACTTAACTCGCAAAAACTTAGTTCAGAAGAATGAGAACACATAGGGGGGCTCAATTGATTATTGACTCTACATTTACAATACCCACTGAAATCAATGGGAGGGTGATGTCAAAGACTCAACTAAGGCCCTGGATAATGTCTTAAAACTAAGAAACAGAAAGGACAAGTCCTGATCTACTGAATCTTCTATAAACGCTAACTAGGCTCGGAGTAATTTCCCCACAAGCAATTGGAATGTCTTATTTTATGCCACAGCATTTAAGGCTAATAACTCGATTAACCTCCTATCCCCTACTAACTAGATTTATGAAATGCCAAGGGAGTCAGCAAAGCATTAGGCTTTAGCTTGGGTATAATTACTTTTAAGTGAAAAAATAAAACCATTACCACAAAACTAACTACTTCCTATATAGCTAAAGTCAGACCTTTGCAACTTCTAATGTAATATCAGATCTTTGTCAAATATAAAAGAAACAAAATGGATAAAAAATAACAAGTGATTGATCAACACTTAATAACAAAACAAAGACTGCATTTTACAAGCATTAGTTGAAACTCTAGCTTCAGTTGCCCTTTATTTAATGCTATCCACTGGCCTCAAAACTGAACAATTCATGTTTCAGCAAAGCCACTGAGAGGATGTGAATAGAACTGAACTAGGATACAGTTTCCCCTATGATAACAAATTTTCCTTTGCCCATTTTCCCTTTTTCTATTGAAAAGTAATGAAATGAAAGGAGGAGTATTTCATACTGAAAGTGTTAGCCATTGCTCATTTTGAATAACAGCTTTACTGTTTCAGCAATAAATATGATAGGAATAATAACCCATGAGTGCACGCAAAACTTTTATAACTTCTTTAGCAATGAATTTGTTTTTCTCTACTCCTAGATCTTATTACTATGAGCATCTGTAGGCATCCTTTCTACAAACATAGTAATTCAGACTCTTTAGCAACATAGCAACACTGACCTTATAGTAATGTCTCAAAGACAAAAAAAAACAAAAACAAAAAAACAGAATCAATTAAGAATTGGAGAAAGGATTACCTGAATGCTTGCTGTAGAGCGATTTTTGCGTGTTGTGGTAGTAGCCATTGTAGTGGTGGTTTCCATGACAGTGGTAGACATTTCTGGTGGCATGGAGGTCGTCTGTGTTGTTCCCAAGATTGACGGGACTTCTCCCACCAGCCGGACACTTCCATTGATTTTAATATTGGGGTTGTTCTCAGCTGCCATGTTCAGTACTTTCAAACCATCATAATAGAGCCCAGAGAGCTGGCCTTGGAAGAGACGTCCTTTGTCTTTTCCACCGATGGCTATTTGCGCCTGGGTGTTGAAGATGGTTAACTGCCGGCCTAGTGGGTTGGGTGGAGGAAACATTATTATTCCCATATGTTATCTCTCTTTGCCTTGCCTGGTCTCAATGGACCAGGCATCAAAACAGGCTTCCGTGAACAAATGAAGGGGAAAAAACTAGATAACAAAAATTCAATAGACATTAGCAAGTAACATTTCACTATGTTTATCTCTTCCACTGTCTAGCTGAATATCCTAGATAAGCTAAATAATTCAGTCTCTATTTCATTATTATGAGGAAAGAGAAATCTTGGTTCAAAGATCCGCAGTATTGTAGTCTTCTTGGGTATGTAGTTGTGGATGACAGAAAGTAATCCCCAAATCAGGTGATGACAGTAATAAAGCATAAATACCTATCGCACTAATTTTTAACCTACAAAGTCATATAATGGCAACTAAATAGAATTATATATGGCAAACAAAAACTCAGTGAGGTGACTCAGAACACTGAATTAAAAAAAAAGACTGATAATTAAATTAACTGAAATGAAGTTAAATTCCAATTAAAAGACTTGGATTCATTGCATACTTATAGAAATGAAGTTTACTCACCAAACACCTCATTTCCTAGAAATCTTCATAATACATAATATTCTATCTATACTTGCTGTTTAATAAACATGATGACTGATAATTTCCTACCTCTTTTAATTTGGGGGAGGAATGGGATTATGGTCACACAACTATATCTCTCCCCAAAACATGGGAAATAAACAGGCATTGATAATGTTTCAGGGGTGGGGGAAAGAAAAAAATGCCATTCCAAATCAATGAATTTAAAAAAAAAGGGGATGGGTATTCAGGAAAAAAGCAACACATAAAATTCCTTAAAACGATAGGTATGTTCATGTGTTGAAGACTATCAGTAGTTCAACTTATTTGGAGTCCCATTTGGGGAACCATTTGTGTTTCTGTGAATAGAAAACTATCAGAATGAAATCATGACAGAATTGAGTTTAGAATAGTGCAACTCAATTTATCTTCTTCCCAACTACCTCTACTTAAAAAAGCCTCTCTTAAGTGCTAGATCTTTCCCAGAAAAATCCAAACAGCTTTTTAAGGCTAAGCAAGTCTATGCTATTATTTCTTCAGATTATTTCCTTCTGCTTTTCCATATGGAGAAGGGGGAGAGACTTATTAATGGAATTAAATATATCCTTTTTGAGTTTTTCTTAAGTCAGTAATCAAACAATATTCCACTCATTCTTAATCTAATCACTTGCATTATTTTACCTATAAATGGCTGGAATGTTCTGTTATTCCTGCCTGCTTATTAAAAGGGAGTCTATTTTTAAAAGACTAAGGTTTTTGACCCCACAATCTCTGATATGAATAGAGGCATACTGTGATGTTTGGGCTCTTAACTTCTACCACTATTACACGGTCTTTAAATCTCTACGATGAGGGGCGCCTGGGTGGCTCAGTTGTTAAGCGTCTGCTTTCGGCTCAGGTCATGATCCCAGGGTCCTGGGATCGAGCCCTGCATCGGGCTCCCTGCTCCCCGGGAAGCCTGCTTCTCCCTCTCCCACTCCCCCTGCTTGTGTTCCCTCTCTCGCTGTATCTCTCTCTGTCAAATAAATAAAAATCTTTAAAAAAAAAAAAATCTCTACGATGATTAGCTATCCTTGAATTTCTAGTGTATAATGTGGAATGCCCTCTGAATATACATATACAATAAGGGTTGAAATGGAAGAGTCAGAGAAGGGAAAATGTATCTGCTCAGAAGGAACTCTTTATACAAGAGTCAGTTCTGCTCATGGCTCATGGGGTAACTCTTAAGGGCATATTAGTCAAGAATGATTTATGAATAATACCTTTTTGCTTTTTGGAAGCTTCAAACACTGCAGTATGGAGAACTGGCCAAAGAATTTTGTTATAGTGAAAATGATCTGCACTCTATAAGAATATTTGGGGCATGGAAATGTAATCTGTTGGATTTGATAACAGAATTGTCCAGATCCTAAGGGAACAATCAAAATGGATCTAATAGGTTTCCATTATTTTCCCACCAATTCCTTCAGTGCCTAGTGCACATGCATCATCGCCTGTCCTTTGGCCTCTCATTTCTCACATAAGGTGTAGCAAAATGTTCAGTGCACAATAACACTGGATAATGGCCTGGAGCTCAACTCTCTTTACTGTTATTTCTTTGACAACAGCTTTTTCTAGGGGGGTTAAGCTTACTGCAAAAGAAATGTCATGATAGAAGGGGAGAATAATACACCCTCAACCTTGCATAGACTTTTGTGGGCAGCTTAACGTGATAAAGAAGGAGCTGCCTAAAAGGAGATCTCTAGAACTCAACTTGGTAGCTTACACCAGAGAGCCCCAATGTCAAGCTATTCCTTCCATTCACATAACTGTCGGCCAACCATAATATTTATTCATCTCCTTTTTGGAATATGCCTTAGCACTGATGAACAGTGAATAGGGATAGCTAGTTATAGGTAAGAAATTTTATATTTCTAGTATTTCTGAAAGTACTTCACATCTGTAATGGTCCTCACCTTATTTTCCTAGTGATATTATTCTGCCAGTTATTACAAATAAAAAGAGGGTCAGGGAGAATTGAAATGCAAAGTTGAATTACACTGGCTAGAAATGTTGGATCTCCTTTATTCCAGTTGTCAGAGTGTACTGCATAAAAGGGTCTTTACTTGTTCAAAACTAACCCAAGCATGGAGAAGGGCAAGACATGTTTCCTGGGCCACAGGAGGAGGCCACCGCTCCATGTCTTGTTATTGCTGCATTCCCAGAGAGATCTAATGATTTCTTGAGAACAAGACACTGGTGGAGTGAAATAGGGAAGGATGTGGTCCAACCTTCAGTTCTCCATCATGCCATAGGAAGTGTTTGGATTTTTGTTTGCTTGTCTGTTTCACAGTCTATTTCTAGCTAGATCTGTTTTTTTGTTTTTGTTTTTGTTTTTTGCTGTTTCAGGATCCTTTCCTAGACCTCTGTACCTTGGATTGTGTAGTTAAGAGTAAAGCAGGCAGTCACTAAAGTAAGAGTGGGAAACTGAGTCTCCTGTCAGCTCTTCCTGTGATCAATTTACCTCTCTCAGCCAAGCAGGGGTAAGTGAGTAAATGAGAACTGGCCATCACCACCCTCTCCCTGTGAAGGGTTATTATAAGGGGCAGACTGGGGTAAGTTTTATCATTTGCCCCAGATTTCTCAAAATCAATGTCAGACCTCATTATTGTCATTCATTATGATCAATCATTTTTTTTAATAATAAGTAACTATGATATCTATATCTATATCCTAACCTAAGAATTGTTCTATCATCCATAATACTCAATTTGGTTATACTAGCGCAGGGTTTGTAGCAGGTTACTGTCTGCTTTGTTTTGGGTGCCCATCTTCTTGGAAGTCATTATTTTTACCTCATTTGGATATCAAGTTCACATACTGCTTAAATTAAATCTTTGCATGTCTCCAGTCAGTGTTGCACAAAGACTAATTAATTAAACTTCAGAACACCCTTGGGGATAGGCAGTATTATTTCTCCTCTCCCCAGATGGGAAATCTGAGATATAAAGAGGTTAAGTGGATTGTCTAAGGTCAGAAAGTATCAGTCAATAGTAGACAGAGCCAGAAAACAGACTCAGGAATGCTGTGACCCAGATCTCTTCTCCAATGACAAAAATAACTCCAAAGAGGCATTCCAAGTGCTTCCTGATACGTCTGCCTATTCATCCTTCCATCTTTACCCTTTTCTAACTCGTTGTCTTTACAAGGTCTTTTGGTATATATTTTCTACTCCTTTTGAAGGAAAGGTTAGCTAGACAGAGGAAGGGGTAAAGCAATAGAATGAACAGATGTTACTCACCCAAAGCATTAAAAAAAGTAATTTCAGTTAAAATGGTGTAGAAGAGAAAACCTCCAGGTTTGCAAATAACCATTTTCAATATTATATGCATATATACATACATACATATTTGGTTAAGAAAATAGAAAGCCGCCCTCCATCCCACGTGACCCACCCTTCCCCCTCGGATTTGTTGGCCTTTCGTCCTTCTATATGAAAGCCAACTGATAACAATGCTATCAGAAGGAAAACTAAAAGCCTATTCATAACTTTATAATGGTTTATACAAATGAAAACGCCTGGCATGCTCTTAAACTTAGAGTTGAAAAGGCGATGGAATAAAAGAAAATATTATTAACATAAAATTAAAAGAAAAAAAGTTCTCTCAGGCACATGAGACTCAGACATGCATATCTAGTTTTCTTCTCCTTTTTAAAAAGTGAGGCAATCATAGTCTTTAGTGTTAAAGGGACTTTATGAGCTGGTGATTACTAAACAAAATTATTTGCTTTTTAGAGTTAATTTATTTTTAATTAGACCACATACGTTAAAAACAGGGCAAACAGTTAAGACTCAGCGAGGATTTTCCGTGTTTAAGGGTCTAAATGTTGTCACCCAACTTAAAACTGTAATTAAGTTTGCTTAAGTTGCATATTAATATATTCAATTACTTTTTATGTATCACTCGATCAAATCTCTATGAATTTTAAGGACTCACTGAAGGTCTTGAGACAAGGTAGCTTGTACTGGCTCGGGAAAGAAGGGACTACATAGCTTCTGGAAACAGATTTTTCTTCACTGAAAGATAATAGTTTATATCCTAGCAAACAGAAGCCACACAGAAAATTCTAACATCAGGTATAACCGCTGCCCTCTTTTATTAACAAAGTGGTTGTTTTCTTCAGCAAATCAGAACTGCTGTTTTGCCTTTCATGAGCCTTTCTTTTCCAACTCATTGTCTTAGCCACTTGCACTTTTGTTGCATAAATATCAAACACATAAGGGTATTACACAACCAAAGTGTAAAAAAAGCTTTTCTTTTCTTTTTTTTTTTTTAGTTTCAGCCAACAACTAGGACACAATTAATGCCTCTTATGAAACACTTTTGCCTCTGTTAAGTTTGAATCTAAAGGCAAAATTCATCTTTCTCATTCTTTCTTCATTTAAAAACAAATGTTAGAAAACACTGCTCCCCTTATAACATTTGTCTTAAGCAGTTTAAGTTACAAGAGTCAATCTGCTGATTTTTTTTAGTTATCCACGCTGGAGAGTAAAGCCAAAACAGCCTCAAGATGTAAGTTTAAAGAGTACTTTTGAAATTTCTTTAGAAAGCTTTGGTATAAGAGGTAATTTAAAACAAATTAACAAATAATGTCATGCAGTGGTTAAATTGCCATAATACATTTCTTTTTTTAGAGGTTCCTGGAATTTCTTGTTTGTGGTTGTCACGCTGATAGCAAGCTAGATGTTAGTCCCTTTAACTGTATTTTAATGGCAATGTATTATAGCATGATTTATCAACATATGGCAGGTGGAAGCTGACACAAATTATAATGAAAATTAAAACAGTCATTTATGCAGCAGGCGATTATCATTTAAGGAACATTTATTTGCAGGCTTTAAAAATGAGGGTTTAGAATCAAATGATTTTAAAATGAAAGTTTTAACGACGGTTACCTTTTTCCTGCAGCCACTCCTCTACGGGCCGGTTATATTTGAAGGGGATTTTCTGTTTTACCATTTGGAAGCGTTCATTATCAGTGTTGCCTTTAAAGTTTAAAAAACAGCTTAAAAAACAATCTGAAAAGTCAATACGTCATTAAAAAACATCCTAGGTTTTTGGTTTATTTATGAAGTTTTTAGAGATAGATATCAATTTATCTTTAGTAGAGGTGGAGTTGAAGTCACTCTGCCCTTGGTTGACAGGTTTGAGGTCAGGAGACTCTTAGCTATGCAGTGCTCCTTCATGTTTTGGAAATGTGGCATGGGATGGGAATTAGAGCTTTGGCTATTTATAGAAATGGGTTTACCTTCACTATTCTCCATCTCACCCCAACCACACCATAATTAGGTCAATGGAGGCACAGGATTTTCTTGGTTTGTGAGTAATTTGCCTGCCAGACCAGCTTCATCTATGGTAGGGGACCCCCAGTGTCTTAGTCACGCATTATCTGATCTCACGGTACTGGGCCTTATCAGAAGCATGGGGTCATGTACTTCTTTATTCTCCTCTCAGTGTTTATAACTGCTCTACCTTCCGGTGGAGGGAAAGACAATTTAAGCCTTGAATGGCCAAGGGAGACTTCTTACTCCATAAAGGAGACCCTGGCATCCTACCAGCTATGTTAAATAGATGGAGTATTATAGATGGTTCTTTACATTTCTATTCCTCTGCCCAGACTTGTTCTACATTTTAAAAAAGAAAACACAAAGTAAATATTTGTAAATCAAAGCAGCTATAAATATAGGTATAGAATATTAGCAGACTTTTAAGCACTTACATTTTATTACTACTAATAAATGCAAGCTTTATATGTTTATCTAGTCTCTCTCTCTTAACTTTCTATAAGAGGTCCTTTCTGAACAAGTATCTATTCATAAAGCCTGTTTGGGATACTTCCTCCAAGCATGAAACACCTAATTAGTTTCAAACCTCAAACATAATGCTTTTAACTGCTACTATGCCCCCTTATTCCTTTTGTAACTGTTGTTACCACCCCTGGATGGTTTGTCTAATTAGGACAGATTTGGAGAGCGGTATTGTGGAGATATACCCCTAATGAATACGCTTCAAATCACAAAATAATGAAGCCACACTTTGGGAACTGTTCTATCTCATCAACCAACCTCACAGTGATCAAAAACTAGTGAATTCTAATTCATGACTTTTCACTCATAGCCCTAGATTGGAACTTAGGGAATCGCATTCCGAATTGACAACATTAAAAATGAAATCAAAATCTCAAAACAGGTGTCTTGGAAATCCTTTACAAAGAAGTCTGAAAGCCAGAAAGAACGTGAGGATTAAGTATAGCATCAGGCCAAGTGAGCAGAACATGACCATGGCACTTCAGTCTTAGGGCCACCTTCCTATGGAAGTTATTATTGACATGTGACTAAACTGGTACCTGCTTTCCATGAGGTGCAACATGGGAATGGGGTGGCCATGCTGGGAGATGTTTCCAAGATTCCCCATTCATTTCTGCTATGAACAAATGATTTTAAGAAGCTGACTCAGTCTCATTCCCAAGGAATAAAAAAACTATTAACAAAAACATCAACAACAAAAACAAAGCTCATGAAAGAGACAACAATGGATATGTTTCCAGCCTACATCATGGGATCTTATGTGGCTGGGATAAAACATAATATATTAACATATCAAAGAATAAATTACAATGAATATGGAATATTATTTCTCATAGAAAAAAACGGGGGGAGAGGGTGTAGGTAAGGAGAAAAAAACAGAAAGGCAACTTCTTGGCGTTTCCATAAGCTCATGGTGAAAGAAATTAATTTTATCTTTTAATACAGTTACCAATTAGAGATTATTCTCATGATCCTCCCTGGTAGATTTGGGGATTCAGAACTCTATTAATCAAAAAGAAAGCTGGGTAAACTCTCACATGTCTTCATAGAAAAGGAGCATGCACTTTTCTGAGAAGAACCTATATCTCGTACTCTTAATCCTACCCTAAAGAAGACAGATAACACAAGGGATATCATCCATCTTCATAAGCTTTGACCCCTCTCAAGTTTTAGTTACAACAAAGTGTTATACTGAAAAATGGCAAATGGATTGTGCCAGATTCACCTTAAATATATTCTATTACTTTGGGTTTTCTGTAACTGTTGTTGGCTGCAACACTAAATATAGTGATAACCTTCACTCCACTCACTGTGGAATGGATTAGTGAAGTCTGTAACAAATATAAAGCTAAATATTCTTAGAAACATGCAGGCAAAATCAGAAGTATCCAAAATTCCCAACTGCCAGAGTTCTATATGCACTAAATTAACTAAATAAGATGCAATGACTTACTTCCTTGGAACACATAGGGGCTCTTTGTCCTCCTAAGCATCCCCTCCCCATACACTCTCTTTCAAACCCAAAGCTCCATAGAAAATCATTTTGAGGCATGGTACAGGCTAGAAAAAGAGAAAAGTATGTTGGATAATCAATAAGTGATATGTTGGGAGGACAGCATAGCCATGATTCAGCCTTAGACCCATCGGAAAGTGAAAGAGAGAGAGTCATTCTTCTCCATCTCAGCTTTAAAGACATTTAGAAAAAAGTTTTAAGTTTTCCACACCAGATTCATAGCATCTGGCATACTGTTAAAAGTTGTGAAAGATGGAAGGTCATTTGGAAAACCAAATTGGTTTAAATTGCCACATTAACATTGTTCTTAGTCTCTTTTCATGTTCTTGTTGGTTTTTATTTTAATTTATCTCAAGCATTAGTAAGAACTGTTTTAGAAACATGTGCATGAGAATGAGTTCATTTGCCCCAAGCCCCATTTTGCTAGATTGACTGAAAAGTAAACAATCTTCTAAACATAAGAATTCATACACAGGGACTACCGTGAAAGCTGAGCAAAACTTGTCAAATTCATATACATTCATATTAAATCCTTAATGACATTCAGTTGTACATTTCATATAGCAACCAGTATGACGATATCCTCAAGAAAGAATGGCCTTATGAATAGTAATGTCATAATGTCACTAGAAAGAAGCATATGTGCCTTACTAATTAGACCAAAATGTAATGACCATACTTCTCAAACACACTGAGAAATCTATAAATTGCACCATGAGATCTTCAAATAGACATTTCTTAAATTACTTATATGGATCTGACACTCACCTACATAGAACTAAATTTTAGAAAAAAGAAAACTAGTCACATTTTATTCTGTTTAAAATAAAAGTGTGTGTGTGTGTGTGTGTGTGTGTCCCATGCATTTTTTATCAGAAATTGAGTTTTTTAATGCCACTGGCCCCCTACCTTCATTTGCATTTGTATCACTGGTTCTGTTATCAAGTATTTCAACTCCAGGAGACACATCTAACATGCACTGTTGAATTATAATATTGTGAAGAGCAGAATACTCTGAGGTGAAATTATTAAGGCCCAACTGGTTCACACAGAGCTCCAACCCTCATTCAGAAATGAATTCAAAGCCTCATGTTTTCCACATTTGAGCAAATCCATTTAGGATAAAAAAAAGAGAGCAGAGTAAGGAAGACAAAGAAAGCAAGTTGACCCTCCAACAATTTCCCAATACATCAGTCTCTCTTTGCAGTCCCAAAGGAGTAAAGTTGCAATATGTTGTCAGTCCCAAAGAAATGAATATTTTTTAAATTGAAGAATGGAATGATAGAACTTTTGTATAGCACAGGTAACTTTTATGAGACCTTTATTATCATTACTATTGGTCCAAGCACAGATCCTATTCATTAGCTATTACACTTATTTTCTGTAAGCCATAATCAATACAGCACAGGAGTTAAGACCATGGGCTTTGGAAACAAATTTGGCTTTGAGTTCTAACATTAACATTCAATAGCTGTGTGATTTTGTGCAAGTGACTTGGCCTCAGTTTCCCCATTTCCCAATTCACCGTAGGACCTGGTATAGTATAATAAGATATAGGATATATACAGAACTTGGGGTATGAAAAACATTCATGTTTTGCAAACTATTATTAATATGATTCAGTTCTTTCCTAATGATCTAAGGGAAGCACGAAGATTCCAGGGTGTACTTCTATGACCTCAGAACTTTACCAGGACTCCATTCAAAACATGGCCATATTCCATTTTGTCCCACAAAGATTATCTTCCAAAGATCAACAAGCCATAGAAAATGAAACATCCTGAATATCCCCCAAATCTCCTAGCTGTTGCTTTTTATATTTCTGAGTCTTCTAAAATATACTTAGCTAACCCCATTTCCAAAACAAAGTGGGTTTCTAAAACCACTGAAAGTAAAAGAGCAATTCAGACACTGACAGATGCGATTTCTTGGTCCAGCCACAGATAATGATGATACACTGCTGCGAAGTTGAGGAAGAGCGTCTTAAAGATTCTGGCAATTTGCACCAGGCTGGCAGAAAATGCTTTCTTGCAGGTAGCCTATAAATACCATCTGAAATGTTGTCAAGCACATGGATATGCTAATAGGAATACTGTAACAACATTCATCTGTGCAAAATTAATGCCAGAGGTATTTTTTACATTTTGTTTTGAGTCCTAGAATAAAAGAAAAAAAAGTTTCTTTATTGTTTTGTTGACACTAAAAAATGAGACCATGGGTCTAATGAACAGTCAAAGAATGAATACTATGAATTAGAGCCAGAGGCAAGAGAAAATCGATGTGAGTAGGCTCAAGCAGTAGGGCATTTCAGAGGTTCTCACAATGTCTCTCTCCCCAAACAATATTTTGTGAGTTTCAAAGCAAATAGAAGACACTAAAGAAAAGGAATTGGTGAAACTCTCTAAGCTCAGCTATGGTCTTGTTCCTGATGTTGACCCAGATGAACTCTCTCAGGGTCAAAAAGGGGGCTGTTGTGCTACCCAAAGGGCATCTAGAATGTTTGGCCACTTGTAAGTGATGGATGGACTGCAACAAAAAAAACCAAATATCTGTTATTTATAAACTGCCTTTCAACCAAAGAGCTCAAAATGCAATTATAAGCATCATCTCATTAATCCTCAAATACACCTTTGAGGTTGAAGGAAAAAGAACTATTTATATGTTA